ACCTCAGTCCAAAAATATATTAACTATACCACATTATTGTGAAAATTGTTGTAAAAATTTTACAAATTTTGTCAAGGAATTTTTTTTAAATCTATTAGTATTATTTTTCTGACATATTGCTGTTCTAATTTTACAAGACTAGGTTAAGTTATAATACTGACTCTATGAATTCCTCCATTATATAACAAAACACCTTTTGCATGTCAGATAGTCAAGTTGAGACCTAACAGAGGGCAGCACTTCCTCCAAGCTGTGAACATGCACAAGGCATCCCAGTTCAGTTGATAGGAGTTAGTGGTCACGGGCACACCGCTCTGTATTTTGTTTAAGTTTTATTACAATAAAACATAATTCTATTGAGCAAGCGCGTCAATTCATTTTTTAAAGTCCTGATCCTGACATTACATAACTTTAGTTTCACATTCTCAGTGTATTTCTTACACCCTGATGTGTACACACCATGAATTTTTAATTTCACTATTAGTAGATTCGTAACTTCATTTGAGTCCATATCATTCAGTATTTTGAACTTTCAAGTTCAAATAGTTCATTTCCAATGATTTTGTTCTCTTAGTCTGGCATGTCGTCATCTATCTGTAGCATTGAACATTACGAAACACAGGCTGGTTTTGATACCAGAAAGAGTTTTTTGTGGCAACAAATTGTTTGCTTGTCAATGTTTTTTCAAGAATATTGTACACATACCGTGGAACTCTGAATCATCACTCATGTTGCTGTGTCTTAAGCACAATTTTTTGGAAGCAATTATTATTAATCCATAAGAGCGAAATTGAAAAACCAGCCAGTGTTTTGGTCCAAGAGTCAGTATTTAGATTTGACAACTAAATTTAAAAAAAATTAAACTTGGGAACATTTGGTTATTAGTTTGTTTGTGGAATCACACAGGACAATTTTTCAAGAATTCTTGCAATTTTACCATCTGCAGTCTTTTGCATTTTTTTAATGTGCGCCTTTACTTGGCTGTTGAATTATTTTACTCCTAAAAGAAGTTTAAAATTACAATATGGTGGCAATGTGTCATCTTCCTTACCACATAACTTTTTATAATGCATTACCACAGATAACTTGTTCTTTCTGGAATATAAATTCCATGAATAAAGAAGAAAAAATATCCCAATATTCCTATAATTGTCATTTTTTCTCAGTATCGGAAATCTTTTAGGATTTGTTACGTACGCAGTAATGTTACATAATGTAAGTAGCTTGCCCTTTTCTCCTAAAATTATTGGTGATTACTTAATAGAGTTTCCACCGCTCATTTCTTGGATCCTTTTTGTTCGCATTTTAATGTGTGCAGAATCATCTATAGAAAAATATGTTGTTGTTTTTTATTTTTAATATAATTGTTGACCATCATAAAGTAGTTTAATACTCTACTTACTCACTCGCTTGTTTGTAATTAGTTTTAAACACTAGATGACAATTTATCAGTAATATCCAAGATTTCACATCTTTTAAATTGAGGTTAAGTTCAGATTGTATAATTGAAAGTTAAAATACATAAACTTTTGACTTGCCTCTCAAATTTTATTGATTTTGATCGAGATTGCATCCCTTTCATGTAGGATTCATAATTCATTTCTACAAAATGTAGAAGTATCAAAGTATTGTCATTTTTGCAAAAATTTAATCCTTCTTTTTTGAATATCATTTGTTCTTAGGGAATACTTCATAATACTTATTTAAATGTCTTATTGTGGTCAACAGTCTTCTTGTAGTTTGATATTTTGCTCATATTCTATATTAAATTATGTTGGTGTAAATTGCTATGCGTAATGTTGTCAGTGCTTCAAAAATGTAGTTTTTAAAATCGTACAAGGTCAAACAAAGTTCCAATGTAAGGGTAAAATCCTATTAGAAACGTACAGGAATTCCATTAGGAATATGTGATTGATGTGAATGAATAAATATATTTTCCTGATATATATTACTGTTTAATACTCGTTTTGTAACACTTTCTTCGGTATGTGAGTGTGCAGTGTATGGTGTTAGGAAAATCGTATTACAAACTCCAATAGTATGGCATTAATAGAAACATTTGAGGACCGATTTTTGTCGCTATGGGCAGGAAGTTTTAAAGATAGGAGATGTTGTCGTCTCATAATTCTTACTTCTTCACATAATCTTACCTTACAGTTTTACTGTTTTACTTGAAATATGTCACGTTTTTCGGACAGGCCTGCTCTTCCGTCTGGCCATGCAAAATTCGCTACGCTCCTTTTACCACCTAGCGGAGAAGGGCGACGAAACAGGCGATTTGACTTTAGCTCAGAGGCATCATTTAGGCTTGATCTTTTACATGCAAGTCGTTATAGAGGTTATGTTGCTTATTAAAATACTACTTTCTTATAATTATTAAAATTTCTTGTACTTAACTATTCGTTATATGCATTCGTAGGCTTCCGCGGCCGGAGTCGTACAATTTTTTCGTCCTTGAAAATCCACGGCTTCTATCGGGTTTGAACCCACCAACTTGGGTTCAACAGTTCGATACGCTAACCGTTACCCCATTGATTCGCAGTTACAATCATGATGATGGTGAAAAGTTCAAATATAAAGTACATAAAATGATAACCATTATGGTTCAGCAAATACTGCTCAAATTACTCGGTTTCCACTCACTTGAACATAATGAAGGCAATAGCGTGAATGAGCTTTCAACAGAGACTGCACATCTTGGCCCCTTCCACAAAACAAAACTTGGGTAAAATGGCAGTAAATTGTCATCTTTCAAAGATGAGCTGAATTACTTCTTGACAGGTATTTTTGCAGATAGGAATTCCTTCTAGGCAGTATTTGTCAAGGGAAAGATTAGAACCAATAAGTCATCCGGCTCACCATTTGAGAAAATTCTGCACTTTGACATCCGATTCTTCCTTGGCGGGAATTGCTCTCGAACCAATATTCTGTCTACTATAGGCAGACAAATTATTTGTGGATTACTTACATGCAGGAGGAAAATGAAAATGCCCATAATTTATACATTGAAATTCAGGACAGCATATGAGTCCAATAAGTAGGATTCTCATGGGTAGTGATGCTTCTCTTATACCAGGGTTCTATTGTAATTGTTTTCATTTTTGAAGTGTTATCCATTTTTAAAAAATACTTAGATTTAGACAATATTTCAAGAAATGTCAAATAAAATACAAATTATTACTTAAAACTTTTCTTCTGGAAGGTTTTTTAATAATTATTGCCCTCACTATAAGCATAACTATTACATTAAATTAGTTATAAATTAGAATGATTTTCTTTGGAGTTGCATATATTGTTGGTATAATATTGCATCTTTAGCAATTACTTGGAAATACCCTACCCTCATTAAAGGAAAAAAGATAGACTGTGAGAAAACTTTGATGTAATTTTATTTTTTAATAACAAGTTTTAAATTAGAAGCATGTTTAGAAGAATTCTTTGTTTGACCATGTTACTGTATAATGTAGAATTCCATTTGCTAATCTCTTTGAGAGAACTGCATGTGCAATTGCCACTGTTCTTACATCAAATATTTTCAAATTCTATGAAGTTTCTCAGCGGTTTTGAATTGGGAGAGTTTGATAAAAGATTATTTCCTAAGTTTTATTATATCTTTAAATCATTTGTAGGTTAAGAAGGTGAAGAATATTAATGTTACTCCATTAATGTCTGAAAAGAAATGTAAGGAACTGAGTTGAGTCTCTGATTAACTGGTTTGAGAAACAACAATTGTAGCATATGGATAGCAGTAAATAATTTAATGTGCAAGTGTACTCATAGTGAAGGTGAATCCAAATTTTAAATATGACTATATATACATTTCATGAACTCGCCAACTATAAATTTTAAAAATCATGCTAGTTAAAAGTACAGAAAAAAAGGAATTACATTCTTATAAAGAGAAGATTAGTACTGTTCCTTCTTTAGTTCTATTAATGAGTGTGCTACATACCACAAAAATTTCTTTTTCTTGCAAGGCATGGGTCAAGAGACCTGCTCGTGTGCTTAATCACGTAAATAAGTTCTCAATTACATAAATACAATTGAGGAATTTGGGTGCAAATAATGTTAAGTGGTGAAATATGAAGTTGTAAAAGAATGTGTATAGGGAAAATAGTAATGAGGGAAATAATATTTAAGGGTAATAATTTGCATGTTTAAATGTAAATAAATGGCTAACCATTTTAAATGCTTTGTGTGTGTGTGTGTGTGTCTGTGTGTGTGTCTGTGTGTGTGTGTGTCTCTGTGTGTGTGTCTCTGTGTGTGTGTGTCTCTGTGTGTG